AGACAGAGAGAGACAGAGAGAGAGAAGCAAATCTATTGGATGCTAGAACCAGACCTATAATGTGCTATTTTAATAATAGTACTTGTGGTTAGCCAGAAGTAGCAAGTGAAATTGTGCCACCAAAATTTTCAATACTCTAGCTATACAACACATTCAACAGATGAAGCAACTTTGATCCAGAACAGTTTCTACCAGACTTAACATGCTTCACTAAGAAAGCGAAAGCACACTGTGATGCATTCTGCTTGACTCGGTTCTCCTCTGTTTCTTCCTGATTTCTGTCCATGTGACCTGGAGAAACTTCAAGTAAATTTTGCTTTTCATCCAGGAGAACTAAGGTAGTATAGTGTGTTTACCTTCCAAATGCACCTGGAAGGTGGCAGGCCATACTGGAGTGATCTATCCTCAGATCAGCTAGTTATCCTTATCTGTCAGCCATTTCTAACGTCTACTATATTCAGGGTATCAGAAGTTACAAACTCAGTCAACTAGTATTAGCTGATAAATTCTTAACTTCCTTTATTTTGCTTTTAGAATTAAAATCTCCAGTTATTCTTTAGCTACCATTTGTGTTTTCAAAATTATTCCTTTTCTTATTTTTACACATGCTTATAGTTAAAAATCAAGGAGCAGTGAATTTATTTTTCAGGTTTATTGAAGTAAAATTGACAAATAAAAATGTATATATCCAAAGCATACAATTTTACTATAGGTAATGATATATTGTGTACATATATTTGCTGAGACTAGAGCTTAAGAATTTGCACCAGTGAATATTTTAACATAAAAAAAGTTATGTTGAATATGGAATGCACATTCCTCTAATCCCAGCATCCTGGGAGGCCAAGGCAAGAGAACTGCAAATTCAATCCCAGCCTGGACAACATGGCAGTTTAGTGAGACTCTGTCTCAAAAATAAATAAATAATAAAAATAAGGGCTGGGGATGTGACTCTGTGTGAAGGCCTAGAGTTTAAGCCCTAGTAGTGCCAAAATAGTAATAGTTATTATTATTGCTATAAATTATACAGTAATATTTCAGTATACTCTAATCCTAATGACTTAGTTTTTGGTTTTTTGGTACAGGATCTTACTTTGCAACCTAAGGTGGTCTCATACTCAGAGTAATCCTCCTGCCTCAGCCTCCCAGTGCCAGATTACAGGCACGTGCCACCACGCACAGATGGTCCAATTTATCTTCAGAAATGATTCACTTTTTATGAACATTCACCAGACCCAGTCAATACTTTAACACATTTCACTAACATATGAAGCTCTCTTTAATGATTAAAACTCATTCTCTTCACAAAGTCATCATGGTGAATTTGTTAATGCTCTGATTTTCCCTACTTTAAAATATGAACAAACTTTCCAATTTCATACACATATCCATCATTCTTCAGAATCAGTGTGGGTTTTTTTCATAATGATCATTTCCCACTGAATTTATTAAACAGTGAAGTTATTAAACAGTTGGTGGGCTGAGGCTGGAAGACTGAAAGCTCAAGGCCAGCCTGGGCTACAGCAGGCCCTGTCTGAAAACCCTTCCCCTAAAAGCAAGTTACTGAAAAGCAACAAAGGTGGAAGCGTAAAGGCCGATGAAGTAGGTTTCTCTTCCAAGGTCTTGGCCTGCCTGCTGTAGCAGTGGTCCCTTCTGCCCAGAGCAAAGCTACTGAACACGGGCCTTTTAGTGCTTGCTGCTCAGCAGCTTCACTATCCTTCTGTGCCCAGGAAGACCTCTAGTCCCCAAAGTTGTTGACAGCCAACTTCCCTCTGTAGATGCTTACACACCAATGGTTTCACTATGTAGCTTACTAAGGAAAAGCAAAGACCAGCAAGAGTTCCATAAAAAAAAAAAAAATCAAGAACTCAAATTTTCATGTGAAATTTTTTTAAAGATCTTTTGTTTATTTATTGGGTACAGAGTCTCAAAACTTTGATTGATTGATATTGATACATGTGTAACCTTTCCTGTAGAAAATCCACCATAATTTACTTTATTAAATTCAACACTATTTTTAGAAAAGTATAATTTTGTTTAATTCTTTATACATATGAGATTAAATAGGCCTATAATACAGGTCTGCAGTTTTAATTCAGTTAAATTGATAAGCAGAATTTATAATGTGATATATA